CCCCCCCCCCCCCTGAAACAATCCTCTAAACTAGTTGAGCTAGGAGATTTTTTTCTCCTACCAACAGTCTATCATCGACAAACTAAAGTACGAGCGGAAACTAGAGCATATTTATCAAACATAAAAACTCTATCTAGATGTTGAACTAATGTGAGGAATAAACACAGCCAAGAAAAAGTATATGCTAAAGCCTACACCATGGCACGCTAAATTAAAATCATACTAGATTGGGACAACCATAGTAGTCTCTACATGATAGTGTCTAAAAACCATACAATAAAATGTCTAATACACTCTTCTGGTCTTTAAATAGCTTCCTTGGGACGTCTAGTATTTGTGAGAACCGCTTATCACTGGGCCACGAAACTATAGGAACCTGTGATTGAAGACTCTATGGCAAATCTAAGCAAGACAGCAATGGAGTGAGACTTCTTTACTAGCTTGCAAAGGGATGGATGGTACTGACTATGCAACGATTCTACCTCGCGTAAGGATGATATCGACTACCCCCACTATAGCCTCCCCTTCCATACAAACCACTTGCTCCTCCATAACTAGCACCAGGACCGGAGTCGTAACCTCCACCATAACTGGAACTTCCATAGCTCCCATAGCCATCAACCCCTCGGCCATATCCTCCTAAGCCACTTGTGCCATATCCCCCACCAAAACCACCACTGTAAGGTCCAAATCTACTAGAATAACCAAGGGACGATTCACCTCGGTAGCCACCTAAGCTATTGCCTCCAAAACCTCCATAACCTCCGCCAAAATCACCACTACTGCCATAACCATACCCGCTCCCTATCCTACCACCAAGACCACCTGGGGTCCTAAAGGGACCAGGTCCAAAGCCTGCATCAAAGTCCCCATAAGAACTGCCATATCCACCAAAGCTATCATTGAATGAACGAGACCTAGAATTGCTACCATATGCAGAAGCAAGTGGTGGGTTTGAGGATTTCTTTGGTTCAGCTTTCTTGATCTCCACCTACAAGAAAGTAACTTAGTCAACCTAAATCTTCCAAAATTTAACTATTCTGGTAGCCCTTGCCTTAGAAGATCTATACCTGTAATAACCTCCACCTAAAAGTAGTATAGAAAAGACATGACTAACAGCATAATGCTTAAAAGATACATTTTTATAAAATGAAAAGGTTGCAAATCATCCATTATTATTAAAACTGGAGAATATGACGGTGCAAAATTCATGGGAAACGGAATTCTGTTTACACTCTGCTCACTTGCATTCCATTGATATAAGCTCACCTGGGTACCAGACATATCTATCATATTTCCATTGGATAAAATTTCATCTACAACTTCTTCCTCCTCAAAAACTATAAATCCAAAGCCTCGCGAGCGGTTGGTTTCATGGTCACGTATAATTTGGTGTTCCGCAACTTTCCCATACTTGGAAAAGAAATGATTAAACTCATCTACAAGCAAGAAATGTAATAGCCAGATTAAACACACAACATATAAACTACCACAAAATGAGAAAAATGAATAAATTAGGAAAATAAATGTTTAAACTCATCTACAAGCAAGACATATGAGAAGACGAAAAAAAATGAATGAAACAAATATTGGTACCACCAATTAAAGAAAACATGCAAATATACCAAAGTAAGTCACAGGTATAGAAATATAACAAATATTGGTACCCTACCTTCAGTAACTGTTGATGGAATCCCACCAACAAATATCTTCTTCGTCTTAAAATCCTTCGACTGACCATGTCCTTTAGGGATGGTTCTCTTAATTTCAACCTACTTCCATATACCAAAGTAAGTCACAGGTATAGAAAAAAAGAAACTAATTGAATCCTAAATTTATGCAACAGATCATATTACAAATGTACCATGAAAGACGAGAGCGTGCGGTGTAGCAAAGAAAAAAATATTAACCAACCAACAGAGTTCGGAAAAGGACTCATAATTAATCTTGTAAGACCATGGAAAGCAAATAAATTTAAACGCCATTTAACAATCAAGTGGAATAGAATGTTTGGTAAGCCAGTAAGAAAAACAAAACAAATAGGATCACGCACTTGTTTCCCATTGATGACATGTGTATCTTCGATGACCTTGTCAACCACAGAAGGATCAGCATAAGTGATAAACCCAAAACCTCTTGGCTGTCCCGTATACCGATCTTTCATAATCACCGAGTCAGTTATCTCTCCATACGTCCCAAAATGCTTGTTGAATTGAGCTGTTTTTTACAAAAACACAATGAAAAGAACATCAGCTACGGTCGGATCTAAACTAACATTGCACTTAATCAACTTACAGACTTAGCATACAAAGAACTCATTTAATAAGCTCTTCAACAGATATAGTTGAAGTATGAACAACTGCTAAAGCACACGCCATACAAAAAAGAACACCCATCAAGAAAAACAGGCATTTTCAGCACAATTAAGCACACATACAGAAACTCCAATCCTACGAACAAAATTTATAATTAAAAGTAAACAAGAACTCACTGTAAGTTGTATCTTTCGCCAATCCTCCAATGAAAATCTTCCTGGGAAAAACAAAAATAGCAACAACAAAAAAAATGAGAACACAAAATCAAGATCTAAAAAAATTGAGACAAAGGAACCGACTAGCAGGCGTAATCAGGGGAAGGCATATAGTAATTAAAATCTGGTGCTTAAAAGCCCCAACTCGAAACTTTCTCAGAGAAACACCGAACGTAAATCAATCGAGAAAGGCACAGACACAAACCCGGGACTAGCGCCATCACCCGTGTGAGGGTTTTCGCTCTTCGATTTGGACGCCATCAGAAATTTGGCCACCGGCTGAACTTTTCTTCCGCTGTCGAAGAAGATCGATAACACGGTGGAGACGAAGAAAAAGGATCGTCGATTTAGGGTTTTTACGATGTTTCCAAATTGGAAGAGGATAACGACTTTAAACTGTCTAAGGAGAGGAGTACTCAATTTTATATGATAATCGAACCCATACTTGGGCCTGCCCAAAATTTGGGCCCATGTTCATGGAAGAACTAACGTTGCCTGTGTCGGATGTCTCGGTCATGCTTGACCAAGCCGTGCTGTCTATGAACGTATACCCATTCCCAACCTTTTTACTTGGTTTTATGTTAGATAGCCTTTACTATTCTTATCGTGTCAGTATAGGGGTGTATAACCGATCTACAAAATCATGTCTAGATCCGCTAAGGCTAAAGAGCCCCAAAATATACTGTAGAGAGACGTGACATCCCCGTATGATTATATGTTATCAAAGGTGTGGTTGTTACTTATTTTCTTTTAGTCCGAAACATTGTTTTCAACGCATTTTATCGCTCACGTTTTCTAAAACATTTGTCTCAAACATAACCCGAGACTCGAGCATAAGCTAATATTGTTTGCAAAGTTCAAATCTCACACGACTAACTTATTCGTTAAGTTATAACAAGTGGTGCACAATCGTTGTTGTGCTAGTCAAGCCCAATTGAGTGACCTTTCATTGGCAAACATAGCTGAAGAAGCCACCCGACACCTTGGAGGAAGCATTCAAGACATGGGAGAAGTTGCTGGAGCCAATTAAGTTCAAAGGATATTTGTTCAATGTCACAATCGCACTCTTTGCAGCAACGGGAAAGTGATCGTGCACCACTTATTCTAATCCAGTGAACAAGTCAGTTGTGAGAAATTTGAACGTCGCGAACAACGTCGGTATACGCTCGGCATCAAGTCACATTTGCAAGATTAGAAAACGTGAATGAAGAAATACAACACAACGGCTTAAATAACATACAACTTCGAGTAGGGAGAATTTGACAACTAGTTGCATCCTCCTATAGTACATTTTGAGGCGATTGAGGTCTGGTAGACTCATACGTGATTTCACCAAACAGTCATACAAAATCTAAGTAGGGAGAGTTGATCACAAGTCACATCCCCCTATAATACATTTTGGGACATTTTAGCCATGATGGGTGTAGACATGATTTTGGTTAACAGTCATACACCGTCATATATGACACAACATGAAATATTAAAGATCTATCTTTAAGCATGCGATGTAACGGCCCAGATCCATCGCTAGCGGATATTGTCCTCTTTGGGCTTTCCCTTTCGAGCTTCCCCTCAGGGCTTTAAAACGCGTCTAGGTTACCACACCCTTATAAATGGTGTTTTGTTCTCCTCCCTAACCAATGTGGGACATCACAATTCACCCCCCTTCAGGGCAACGTTCTCGCTGGAACTCTTTCCTTCTTCTAATCAATGTGGGACCGCCACCAAATCCACCCCCCTTCGGGGCCCAGCGTCCTTACTGGCACACCGCCTCGTGCCTACCCCCCTTTGGAGAACAGCGAGAAGGCGGCACATCGTCCGGTGTCTGGCTCTAATACCATTTGTAACGACCCAGGCACATCGTCATGTGTCTAGCTCTAATATCATTTGTAACGACCCAGGCACATCGTCATGTGTCTAGATCTAATACCATTTGTAACGACCCAGATTTACCACTAGCAGATATTGTCCTCTTTGGGCTTTCCCTTTCGGGCTTCTCCTCAAGGCTTTAAAACACGTTTACTACAGGAAGGTTTCCACACCCTTATAAATAGTGTTTTGGGACATCACATGCGACCATGGACAAACACGTCTTAGACAAGCATAACCGAGACATCCAACATACAACCATAGACAACACGCCTTGGACAAACATAACCGTGACACTCAACGTCTTAATAGCATTGCTTAACATGGGAGACGACCAAAAAGAAAAGTTTCTATACAAACATATCGTTATTAGGATCATGAAGAAGAATTGTCGCTACTATGAAGATCATCTCAGTTGTCAATACCAGAAAGCGAGCCGTTCATGATAAAAACCGATACCATTATTTCAAAAACGCTTCTCGTTCTTGATGCGATTACAAATGCTGATTCTTAGTAAACTAATGAATCCTACAATATGCTATCAACATATATAGCAGCAGCACACTACAGACACTCACACCTTCTATTACGGACAGAACTTCAATGAACAGGGCACCCTTTAACCACGATCCCGGGTGCAGTAGGACACGTGGCCAACGGACAACGGTCCGTGCTGTCGAGCCCCCACCAGTTCGGACCAATTATATCCTTCGATTGAAGGGTGAAATAGATAAGAACCCCCATGAAAGCAACCCCAGCATCCAAAGCAGCTGACAAGATATAGTTATGCCTAGCCCACCATCCCTTGTACTTCCTGTAGACATAGAAGTTAAAGAAAATCCCGACAGCCCCCCATGTCAGGTAGTTCACTGCTCTAGCTGGTGGAATGCCCAAGCCACCTCCAAAGATGATGGGCATGTTTATAAGCCTAATCCACTTTTGGTCGGGAAACTTGCGGGATAGCCACCAGACAGGAACAGGAGCAAGTAAGCCGACAAGGAAGAACCAGTTCATCTGTGGGTAAATGCCTAGCTTTCCGAACATTCGGAGTGGCCCGACGACTCCCCATATGATGGATGCGTTGTAGAACACGTCGTCACCCGGGCATGTCCATGGACTTCCTTCGGGAAGCAAGGCTGGGTCGCAGATGTGGTCGACGGTTGTAAGAAGCCACCAGGCCGTGCCGAAGTAGACACTTGAAGCAACTACTGTTCCAACTAACTGAAAGAACAAAAGAACGTTATGTAGAGGATGATCATGGGTTTATAAGTAAAGAATACATCTCGATTGGTACGAGGACTGTTCGGGAAGTCCACAGCAAAGTCACGAGAGCTTATGCTCAAATTGGACAATATCATACCATTGTGAAGATCAGTGATTCCTAACATGGTATCAGAGTCATGCCCTTACTTTAGCCATGTCAATAGAATCCTCAAACGTCAAACAAAGAAATTTCTAGCCTCAAAGGTGTAGTCAAAAGTTAAACAAATGGTGTACTTTGTTCGACCGATCCAGAGAAAGGAGTCAAGTCTCGATTAAAGGGAGACTGCTCGAGGGCTACATAGACCTTAGGGGAGGCTCTATGGTGTACTTTGTTCGAGGGAAGGATTGAATACATCTCCATTGGTATGAGGCCTTTCGGGGAAGCCCAAAGCAAAGCCACAAGAGCTTATGCTCAAAGTGAACTGAAAATCCGTGATTTCTAACCGAATCAAGCAAAAAGAACAAAAGAACTACCTGAACTAGGAACATTGATCTCGGGGGAATCTTCATATAGTGACCTAGTTTGAAGTCACTAAGAAACATCAGAGCTTGTGACATACTGATATATCCATACGTCTTGAACGTCACGTTAGCTAGCGGCCTCCCGGGATAAATATACCCAATAATCAGCTCGGTAACCACGTTAAGCCCTGGTTGCTGCACATTATCGTTAAGCAGAACATTAACACACTGATATTTCAATCTCGATGTTTCGAATACGTCGTTATGAACATACCACATTGGTAGTAGCTTGAATGATCCCAATGGGTAAGGTGAAGAACAGAGCAATCCCACAAGCTAATAAAATCCCCCACCAAGGAAGTTGGAGCTGTTTATCAAAGCCTTCACAAGCATACAACGCAAACGCCATCATTATTATCAACACGACATAGAACCACCACTGAGGAACTTGCTTGTAATTCTTCTTCATCAGTCTAGTATGCACATCTCCCAGCTGATCCCCAGCTGCACTTGCTGTCTTTATCCACATCTGCCAGATTGTTCTGTCCCAGACAACAAAAGGACAAAAAGATGGTGAAATGAGCCAAGAAATGGCTTGGTTTCAAAAAGTTCAAGTGTTTTTGGAGCTTACTTTCCATGAAAAAGAGCAACATGCGAGATAGTTGCTGTCAAAATGGCAAAACTCAACCCATAGTTAAAAGCAAAGAAGGCACTGACATAGAGTTTGCTATAGCCATCATAGTTTGCTTGATCTATATCAAACGTTTTGGCATTAAGAATCCGAGAAATATTGTAAGTTCTTCCAGTGAAGTCGAAAGTATGAGCTGAAATCATCGGGAATCGCTTAGCTTCATAAAGATTAAACCAGTAAACAATGGGGTTTAGTACATAAACGACCATGACGAAACCAATCAAGATGTTGACGATGGCGAAACCAGGTGTGGCTAGAGGGCTTCCGAGGAAGCCAGCAACGGTCGACCAGTCGATCCCGAATGAGCCAATGCCAAGGCCACGAAGGCCGGAACCGATCTGTTGGGCTGTGACGGAGTTTCGCCATATCAAACAAACAAATGAGATGCATGATATTGAAGGGAAGAGGTAGCTCGGGACGACGTAGTAAGCAAAACTTGATATGAAAACCATGAAGAAGAATTGTAGCCTTGTGTGTCCTCCTCTTGGTCTCTTGTCTTTTTCATGTAATGCCCTGTCGTAAGGTTCATGTTCTTGATTCAAATTTGCTACTCATAGATGTTTTGAGTATCAGTTCTTGAAGAATGTACCTGAATAGAGAGACTTGAACTAGATTTGCAGGCCACCACATGTAAGGGGAGTCAACTAGGAATCTTCTGAACAATCCAGCCCATCCGTAGCCTAGCATCTGTTCATGGGAGAGTTTGTTCTTGATTTTGATATCTAAAAGCATGTTATAAACACGATGAAGATGAAGAAATCTAAAGATAGAGAGGCGTAACGAGCCTGTTGTTTGGAATCACGACTCTCTATAATGGTATGATATTGTCTACTTTGAGTATACGCTCTCGTGGTTTGCTTTTGGTTTCCCTAAAAGGCCTCATACCAATGAAGATTCCCTCCTAACAATCCTCCCCTCGAACAAAGTATAACATAGAGCCTCTCCTGAGGTCTATGGAGCCCTTGAACGACCTCTCCTTAATCGAGACTTGACTCATTCTCGGGAGTCATCGAACAAATTACATCATTTGTTCGACACATGAGTCACTTTTAACTACAGGTTCGAGGCTTGCAATTTCTTTATTCGACACTAGAGGATTCTATTGACATGGCTAAGTTACGGGTGTGTGCAGGAGGGCGGCATGTAGGGGTGTGTGAGACTCCCTCCCAACAATCCTCCCCTCGAACAGAGTACAACATAGAGCCTCCCCTGAGGCCTATGGAGCCCCCTCGAACAACCTCCCTTAATCGAGGCTCGACTCTTTCTCTGGAGCCATCGAACAAAGTACACCCTTTGTTCGACACTTTAGTCACTTTTGACTACACCTTCGAGACTTACAATACTTTGTTCGACATTTGAGGATTCTATTGACATGGCTACGTTAAGGACATGACTCTAATACCATGTTAGGAATCACGACTCTCCACAATAGTATGATATTGTCTACTTTGAGCAATAGCTCTCATGGTCTCATACCAATAGAGATGTATTCCTTACTTATAAACCCACGATCATTCCTAAGACTCCCTCCCAACAATCCTCAATATCTAAAAAATCACCTCACCTGAGTCGTTTGGGACAGCAACATGGCTGCAAGAGGATGAAGATTTCTATGGTAAAACGCCTTAACAATCGTGACGATATTCAAAGCATAAACACTATTCGATCCAGAATTGGCGAAAATGGTGATCAAAACATGTTCTTTGAGAGTAAACGGCCCAGGATTCATCGAAAATGACCACTTAGTGAGTGGAATTCGAAGTGGGGTAGCTGGAAATGTTGCAGCCATCAACTTTCCAAGAGGAAGAACAAGAATCTGTGCAGAAACTGAAGAAACATACAGCTGATTCTGGCGAAAACCAAAGAATTGGTTCACAAAAGCCAAAAGACAGCAAGATGTTAGCCCAAGAACCCATGTCCTGAATGTCAAGGCTAGCTCTAATGGGTCATCTGTTGGTGGCACTGTGAGCCTCACTTCCTCAATTGGGCTATCATTCTCCTCCCCTACATTACCAAAATGGTTGAAAATGCTCATAAACAAGAACAAGAACATGAACAAGAACAAGAACAAGAAGAACAATGGATAATCCGTACCATTTTTGTCGAAGTTTGATTCAAAATCTTCCTCTGGGATCCCATTCCCATCGTTTCCTTTTGTCATCTTCTCCTTCTCCAACCTGCAGTTACAGTATAATGCTTGTTTTTCTTGGGACAAAAAACATTCTAGGATTTCCAGAAGTACGAGGAACAGAGCAAAAGACAGACCTCGTTCAAGCGGTTCAGAATCCCAACGAGGAGGCCACTAATTTCTCAGAAACCCACCATTTGATGAAACATTTAATGGGTTATTTCTTCTTTCTTCTGGAATCTTGAATCTGGGCGGCTTCGTTAGCACATGGGGTTGCTTTAGCTTTAAATTGGCCCCAGCTGCAAAATCTGAAGATTTTGATATTGTCACATTTGAAAGTTCCTCAAAAAGAGGGCTCATTCCGGCTTTAACTTGTGGATGAGGACAACTATTTTGAGTTAGAGGATGATGATGGGCGTGGTAGGGTATAGATATCACAACCGACATCGAGCGGTGTACTAGTAAAGATATTGGATAGGAAACGAAGGGAGATTGACAACTATTTTGAGCTAGAGGATGATGGGCGTTGTAGGAAATAGGTATTAGAGCTAGACACTGGGCAGTGTACTAGCAAGGACACTGGTCTCAAAGAGGGATGGATTGGGGGTTTCACATCGATTAAAGAAGGGAACTGGTGGGGATGGACAACTATTTTGAGCTAAAAGATGATGGGAGTTGTAGGGAATAGATATCAGAGCCAGACACCGAACAGTGTGGTAGTAAGGATATTGGTCCCAAATGGGGATAGATTCGGGGTTCCGGATCGATTGTAGAAGGGAACAAAGGGGGATGGACAGCTATTTTGAGCTAGAGGAAGGTATGAGAGCTAGACACCGGACAGTGTGGTATTAAGGACGTTGGTCTCGAATGGGGATGGATTGGGGGTTCCATATCGATTGTAGAAGGAAACAAAGGGGGATGGACAACTATTTTGAGCTAGAGGATGATGGGCGTGGTAGGGGATAGGTATCAGAGCCAGACACCAGGCGGTCTACTAGCATGAACACTGGTCTCAAAGAGTGATGGATTGAGAGTTCCACATCGATTACAGAAGGGAACGAAGGGGAATGGGAAACTATTTTGAGCTAGAGGAAGATGGGCGTTACAGGGAATAGGTATCAGAGCCGGACACCGAGCAGTGTGGTAGTAAGGACGACGGTCTCAAAGGGGGATGGATTGGGGAGTTCCACGTCGATTACAGAAGGGAACGAGCGCTACCCACATCGATTGAGAGAGAGAACAAATCATCCTTATAAGGGTGTGGAAACATCTCTGTATCATACACGTTATCCTGGATTCGGATCGGCGTGGGTGGCGGTGGTTGAGAATGTGGACTTTTTGAATGGTTCAAAAGACTAGTGAGGCTCACCGATTTGGGTTCCAACCAAGGTGAAGTTGTGGGTCCAGTTCCTTTTTTTTTTTTTTTTTTTTTTTTTTTTTTTTTTAAA